GAGCTAAACCGCCGTCGCCGCAATACACTGCGTATATTCCGACCAAGTAAATTCCTTCAAAGTAACCCTGTCACAAGAAGGGTTAAAATTGTGCAGTGGATTTTGATTTACAAGAAGGCGGTTTGTGATTGTACCACAAGTAGCCAGTTCCGGGCCAGTGCGCACCCAAAGTAAGTAATTGTTTATACTCGCCAGCTAGTTGCGTGTGGCTCCCAGTTCGAGTAGCTCACTGTAGCGTTGAGCAAATGTTAGTTCGAGGCTTTCGTGTTTGCTGACTTATGTTTGCATTTAGGGATTATACTATTCAGTAGAGCAGGATTAATTGTTTTAGGATTATTCGCTGCCTGTGGAGAGGGCAACCATCGTGAATTAACACAAATTGAAGAGCTCTATTAAGTCAAAAATTTATTCATCTATTTCAACAGCGCATTAAACAATCTATAATTCTAAACAAGCTTTATTTGTATTAAAGTTGCTAATGTAGCTGCTCATGTGTGGTATGTTCATATATTTTTTTGCCTTAGTGTTTTGCATTTTATTAATTTGGAATAACATTGAATTACTTGTGTGAAAATAAAGAAAGGAAGTAGACATAGTGTGAACTATTATATAGTGAGTATTATGTGTCTTAAAATGCGGAGTGATTTCTCTGTTGCTTCATTTAAGTAGGCATGACGAACAAGGCTATGGTTTATGATTTGAAACCAATACCGCAGGGTTGTAGGAATTGTTCAAGTACAAACTACACACATCTCATAATAGAATGAACTTAAATTTGTAAGGGGCAAATTGCTTACTTACACTATGCGTGCTGTTTTTATTTAAATATGATAGGAGTAAAGTGAAGTCTTATATATTATAAATAAAAATCCACACGTAATATAAACGTACATACATATCGTCGGGGATAGAGCAATTACACGTTAATGGCATTGGATTATGAGTTTCTATTTCAGTAGGTTAGTGGTCAAATCAAATCCAAATTGCGTGATTTACTGGAATCTATTGTTATTAGTCCGTAGACAACATCACTTAATGCTTACTATGCAAAAATGGAAGCCGTAGCCATTGAAATAACAAAGTAATAACATTAAATCCCTCTCGTGTAAAATTTGGTTTAGTGTAGAGACGCGCCTTCTACCAATGCTATATACGCGGATTTGCACTATCTCCAACGATATGCCTGAAGTGGCACTATCCCTTCAATTACAATATATACAATCTGTAATTATCCATCTGTGTTTCGTTTTTATCCAATTTATGTGCAAAATTCACGTGAATTCTTTACGCACGTACCCAACTTAAAGTGTCTTGTGGCAAACAATAGTGTATACAAATTACACAGCACTTTGAAATCGGTCGCTAATGTGTCAACTTGTCGGTAACATCCCTACACACAACAGCTTATATGAATATCAACCACAATATTTGTCTTTGCAGTTCCGCATGTTCAATTATTATTCATTTAACTGGTATAAAAGTTGTCTATTGTGAATGTAAGAAACTAAACAATTTGTGCGAAAACAGGTCTAGCAAATTGATCAGACATAAATACAAAAAAAATCCCAAGTAGTCACATCGCCTTTTTTTAAATTTTATTTTCCTTTTATTTCATGCAATTTCATGAAGCTTGGGCCTGAGCCCCAATTACAATTTTATATGGTATCTGGGTGCTAATTAAGTTGTTATGAAATTGTAATGAGTAGTACAGAAATAAGTACTGTATATTTCAACGGTTGTTGATAGCTTAATTTACTGCACCAAAACTTTTGGAACACCTGTTTTATATGTGTGTCCTAACAGAAAAGGGTAATTTCGCTAAAATCTGATATAAATCCATACCTAAAGATTAAATTGCGTAATTAAAATAATGGATATATCCAATACCCATTATTGCCAGTGGCTAGCTACTGCAATAAGATAATCGCAGTAGTTGGTCACTGTCGTCTATTGTGGGGTCATTACACATTCAACGGACAGTCACTGCAACAGCGATGTTATTACATATATTTTAAAGCACTGTTTTTGTATTTATACTAAGACTTTGTGAGAGAAACAATAAAGATTTATTATTATTATTATTATTACTCAGCTATACATTATTGGGTCCGATGACGTCAAAGCGTTGTCGATGCATTGCAAAGTTGACCGATATGAGTACACATTAGGGCCCGACAAAAGCGGCCAATAAATCGGCACATTAGTTAATTACTTCGCCGTTCATTTATTTCGAAGAGTGCTCTGTTTGCATGTAATTTTCATACAATTTGGTTTCATAATGGAAATATGTCTATTTGCATACACGATTATTTATAACTAGCTGTGCCCATTATTTTATACGCGCTGACGTGTATTACTTATTAATATATAAAAAGTAAACCGTATCGGTTATAACTTCCAATTTGTTACTATACCTTCCAATTAAGTACGCTTAAAGTTAACACAATTTGAAATTAGTTTTTTTACCATTATTATCGTTAATATTGTGGCTTTAATATAAAAGTTATTAGTATCGTGTCGCTGATTTTTTGTATATTTCCAGATGACTAATATTTTTTTAGCACTTAATTTTCAAGTATATCCAGTTGTTTGGTCAGCGTCTACGTTTGCACTACTTTTCGACTTGTGCAAGCGTCTTTCTTATTTTTCAATCAATTCCGACTAGAGGTTTTTTCCGGTTTATTTAAATACATCGTTAAAACTATTTATTTTGTTAAAATTACTTTGCAAATTAGCAAGGTCAACGTATAGATAAATAAACATACAAAAATTCTAAAAATTGTACTCAATACTGTATACTTCATTAGTGTAGGTATAGCACTGCCTTTTACTTTAAAATATTAGAAGTACAGAATAAGTTTCTGTACGATTTTACTTTATTATAGGTAGGTATTAATATATTCAAATTAGTTTATATCACGCCCCTTTCAAAGCGCAGAGAAATTTGATATTGTTTATTCACCACATGGTTGACTGTTCAGAACTGCTTGTTAATTTAAAGTCAAATTCCTGTCAAACTTCCGAGACTTTACAGGTCTAGTTTATAAATAATGAGAGCTCTTTATGTTTTTTTCAAGTAATTTAAAGAAATAACACGAAAAAATTTCATTTCCTATGTGTAAGTAACAATTGCGAAAACCTAAGAACTCGACATAAAATAAATACATTTTAGAATGATTTCTATCCCGTTGACTTATAGTTCTTTACCGTTGTTTAATTGTTTAAAGACAAAACTAATTAGACAGAAAGATTCAAATATCTTTTACATATTTTGATATATACCTGTCGAACGCAGTTGCAAGTCTTCTCCAAGCTATTATTTTACTTTCAAAAACATTGTCACTCTCCCTGTAAGTTCTGTTATCGCGCACAATACCACAGTTGCATCATACCGGTCAAAAGTAAAAAGTTACTCTACCCTCGCGCGTTTTGACTATTTGCGTTAATGCAATACAGGCGTTTGCTCAAGAATCCATTACTACAGGGGAAGTAACAATGTCTCATTACAAATTAATGATCAATCGGCATGAACACACGGCAGTGCGTGGTGACTGCGCGCCCTCGCGGGAAATCATTCGGCCTGCTGGCTCGACCCTCAATGCATTTCAACGTAATATTTAACGTGTTGCTAACAACGTTTGCCATTATTTTCTGTTTTTCTACAAATACCTGTTTTTAAATGCTTTCTCAATCGGAACTGTTTCTAATTCTTTATGTACGTTCATATTGTCTACACTGGTGTATTGCATATTTTGTAGGTATTTTCCAGGATTGTTGAGAATATCAGCATCTACATCCGCATCCTGGAATAATTTTTGCAAACATTCCAGAAACAGACTGTAAGCCGAGAAATATAATATTCCATGATTAAGCTGAGCAGATTGATTATTCTCAAGTAGATTAATTATTTTATTAATAAATGTCACAAAATCATTGAAATAATATTTTATTACGATACCAAAGAAAATAGAAAGCTTTTTCATGTAGAAATGTACATTCTTTGCGTTTTTTTAAATACATAAAATCAGCATCACATATGTTGAGGTAAAAAATCAGCATCCACTAATGTGTGGAAACTCCGCATCGCAACAACTCTGGTATATACTAAGTATTCTGTAGGTAATTATAATTCTGTTATGGTATAGGTCACACAGTCCACATCATAAATAATGTTGATCGTGTTAATTTCCCTGGTATGTATTATAGCAATGTTTATACGTGTTGTAGCAATGACAGTCCAATCTACATATTGCAGATCATCAAAGGTCTGACAGATGTGTATAATACCTTAATCTGTGCACCTGTGTACTGTGTACACTATGTTCCATTGTGGTAGGTAGGCTTTTGAAACGTACTCCTTAACGTGCGTACATTGACGTTGGGTAATCCTCTACCTTCCCAGCGATACATGTGCCTGCGGGGTTCTATTCCGACTGATCGAGCCTTTGTGCAATAGTACACGAGCTTAAACCGTTCTTATATGTATAGTTGTCTTTGTTATCAATTCTATGTTTTGCTTGTATAAATTGTACAATAAAACGGTACAGATTTGTGCTAAAATTACCTTTGATTTTTTATGATACCACATACACACTCACATTTTCAACATACTGAAAATTATAGATAATTCATCACATAAATTAATTTACACCTACTATTTTGAATAAAATGTAAGTCATATTATTAGCAGTTTTGTGAATGTATTTTCATGTAAGTATAAATATTATGCGTGGGGTTATAAGGGAAAATTCAATAAATTATCAATTTTGAGGTAATTTGATAATTAATTAAATTTTCCACGGTTTTCGCTAGTATGGGTATATGATTGGTTCAGTATTTTAGAGTGTCTGTTGCAGCTTATGTGTGATTGCGATGGCATGTTGCGATAAAAAGCGGTCAGTGCGTAATATTATGATTAATAGAAGCAGGTATAATTTGGTCTAAAATCACACAGGTATGTAAGGAAAACATTGTTGTTTCTTAAATAAATAGATACGTACATGGTGTATAATGTCCGTTGCAGCGTAAAAACTTTCGTGGGGATCGGGTCGCTTCATCATATATTGTCGTGGAAACTCCGGATCTTCGCAAATTTCTGTTAACAATAAAAAAAAGTTTTTTGTAGCTATTATTACTTAGGAAATGAAACTATTTTTCCGGATTTTAATCGCGTATATTTGTTTTTTCAAACAAACCGGCGTTTCAGAGCCTTTACAGGTCCCATGGTCACGGTTTCGCGAAGATCGTGAATTAGTCATCCTCTGTGCAGGTAAAGGTAACGCAACGGTGGTCATGAATACGTCAGATTATAACAGCAAAATAACTGACTTATTATCGGATGAAAGCACGTATAAAAAGGTGAAGAAAGACCCTACCACCAAAATATTAAAGACAACAACTAAGTTAATATCTAAGCACTCCGATACGCTGAAACTTGATGTAAGTGAGTTTGTACCCTGCTGCCTAAAACCTCCAAAACTGTATGGGTTACCAAAAATACATAAGGCTGACACCCCATTCCGTCTCATAGTTAGCCAGATTGACACGCCAACCTACAAACTGGCTCAACACATGGCAAAGGTACTGTCACCATTGAGAGGGAACACTTCTACACGTGTGAAGGATTCATATCATTTCATCAGTGGAATCAAAGATCTACGGTTAACTGATGATGACACCATGGTCAGTTTTGATGTTCAGTCGCTGTTTACCAACCTACCAGTAAAAGACTGCATTGAAATTGTACGTAGAAAGCTAAGGGAACATAATATGTCCATTGAATATGCAGAATTATTAGAACACTGGCTAACATCAGGCTATCTATTGTGGAATAATGAATTCTACCTACAAATCGACGGTGTAGTGATGGGCTCCCCGGTATCTCCCGTTGTTGCCGAATTTTCGTGGAAGACTTCGAGGAGCGAGGTTTACCCATGACCCCAGCTAGGCAGAAGATTTTCAAACAGTTGATGATACTTTCACAATATTACCTAAAGATAGCATACCTTCAGCACACCTTCTTTCTTGGACCATCTTAATTCTTTTGATACTAAGATCCAATTTACTATGGAAAAAATTGTGATACTTTAGCTTTCATAGATGTTTTAATTAAAAGAAATCCTAATAACACCTTAGGCCATACTATATTTCGAAAGAAAACCCATACAGATAGGTACCTCAATGGTAATTCCCATCACCATCCTAGCCAGTTAGCTACCGGGTGCAAATCTTTGTTTCAGAGAGCACATGGTGTCTGTGACAGTAATCATCTGGCAGGGGAACTTCAGCGTATAAAGCAAGTCCTATATGCGAATAAGTTGAAGATTCCACGCCAATGCCGCAGGCTCCGTGAGAAACTACCAACAGTCGAGCGAAGACCTGCCATTTTACCTTACGTGTGAGGTGTTACAGACAAGATCGGAAGAGTCCTCAGGCGTGCATCTATCAAGACCTATTTCAAGGCCCTGAGGAAGATTTCTCAGTCCCTGAGACCCGTGAATTGTAACATCCCCTTACAGGATGCAGGAGTTTACAAGCTTGACTGTGAGTGCGGTCTCTCTTATATTGGACAAACGAAGCGAAGTATTTGTACCCGCGTCAAAGAACATATAGCTGATGTCAAACACCGTCGCGTAAACAAGTCTGCAGTCTGCGAGCTTGTCATGGATGAACCTACACATTCAATGAAGTTTGACAAAACCCAGGTCCTTGCAAAAGAAGTCCGTTATCTACCCAGGATGCTGCGAGAGGCCATTGAAATAAAAAAACATCCTAATTTCAACAGGGAAGATGGTTTCAATCCAATATTTCCTCTGATGAAAAATCCCAAACTGACATAAGTCTGCAGTATTATTAATATGTTTTAGTTTATTCTAATTTCTGTTATTAATTAATAATAAATTAAACTTAATAAAAATTCATTCAATAAAAGTAAGCGTAAATAATTGGAATGTTTTTTTTTTTGTAAAATTAAAAATAAGGTATTTAATTAATAACTATTGTAACTATAGTGAAAAAATGGGGTGGTTTGCATTATTATTAGGCGTAACTGGTTGAAGACTGTACCACCTCAGTCAACCGTGACCATGGGACCTGTAAAGGGCCCGAAACGTCGGTTTGTTTGAAAAAACAAATATACGCGATTTAAATCCGGAAAAATAGTTTCATTTCCTATGTGTAACAATCGCGAAAACCTAAGAACTCGATATTATTACCTAAATATAAGGAGCTTTTTTTAACTTTGATTGTATGCCAGCGGTCTGATAAATAAGCAATAAATGATATTATTTGGCGTTTGCATAGATATATCTAATTAGCTTTTAAATTTCAATTAGCTTTACTTAGAAGTGCTTTGCTTCATCCTTCCTAATGCGTACGTCAAAGGGATGGAATACGCTGCATCTGTTTCTAGAAAGCACAATTTAGAATTATTCATGTGCATAAATATTTGCTAGACGAATGTGTATTGTCGTCGGCTTAATAGTCGTTTAACATCCAGTGAGAATGTCAAGCAGTATTCTCTTTATAAGTGTAAATTTGTACTATACACGAGCTGCCAGGCAAAGCTGATTTTTAGGCGCGTGCTATACTGTGCACGTTAAAGCAATCCCGTTGTTCGAAGATACCGGCCTGGGGCCATTATACTGTGCTCAGGGCACATCATCTTTTCAACATAGCGCTGAACAATGGCCACCCTTCCGACCGGATGTCCGCCGCAGTAACGAGCACACCCTATCCGAGAGCTTTCTTTACCTTCACTGGGCTATCTTTACAATTTGTTTAAAGAGCAAAGAAATGCACTTTGTAAAAATATCTATTCTATTAATTCGGCTACATGTGAACTGGACACCATGTGTAGCTTAGTCTCTATGAATGGCCTTAGATCTGTAGGGTGAACAGAGCAAAATGTCGATGTGCTCTTATCTGCCGTACAATCACAGTACGGTTCGCTTATTTTCATTGCAAATCTTCTTACTTTTCGATTTAGTTCTTTCTCGCTGAGAAAATTTTATGTGAATTTATTTCTTTGTACAAATCGAGCATCGTATTTTAGTGACTGTGTCGCTCATGGAAAATATGCCGTTTAATGTTGTGGGTCTGATGATGGTCATTACGGCAAAATAATATTTTCACATTTTTCTAAATTGCCCCAGTTTACGTAGCCTGGGTAGTTGGGAATCATTAAGGACGTTTCGTTTCCAGCTATCCGAACGAGCGGTCCACCGTGCGGTGTGTAACAAGCCGGGGAAAGTGCGCTCGAAAACCTTAACGAGTGCAGTCAAGAGGACGGTGGAGTGTCGCGGCGGCCTAACTAGCCCCAGTCAGAGGAAAAAATACGCCAAACGTTAGGCACGGAACAAGGTATCAGAACACAGCGGTGTTTTTTTACATTCCTATAATAAATCGATCTGCATGCCTTTGTAACTCTTGAATATAATCAGAAAACCAAACTGTTGTATAATTTGTCAAAATAATTTGACAAATTATACAACTTGATTGTGTCTGTAATTATTTCGATACGTATTAACCTTTGCCAAAGTTTTACAGTTTCATCTACCATAGGGGTTTAACACCCCTGTTTGCCAAACTAAACTGCCTATACATACATGTTTGTTCATTTGCAACAGAAGTATTATTTACAATTAGGGTCTAACCCTGCCCATACGATTCCTAAGAACAGAAGGTGACTTTATTGCTCTTTTAAACTTTGATCTTTTTGCTATTGTTTAATCTCGTATTTTTTTAAAACGAACTCATAGCAGATCGGTCATTTTCAAAATATTCAAACAGCTTTGAATAAAAGCAATGTTTATATTACCGAAGCGTTATATAGCTATAGATGATGGTAAATGTTGAGAAACTGTTGTTCTAAATTTTAGATAAATTACTGGTGTGTACATGGGTTGACAACATTTGATTGACTTGAATAAAGGACACGTAAACACGTAATGTTATTACTTTTAATGTATGTGATGTTAATACTAACTGTACACCTTTTAGTATTACATATTTCGTTATAAATAGAAGACTTTGAAATGCAACGAGTTCGTGTTATACTTTCGCTTGCATCTCAAATGTGTTAGTAATGAGTATGCATGTTACAAACTGCCCTGGCGAAAATCAATTTTTTTTTCTTATTTATCATAAAATTTTATGCATTAGTCGTATTTATTGAATAGTTCGACTTTAATAAAGTAGTACGTAGGCACAATTGGACGTCACAAAATTAACTCACAAGTAAAATAGTAAAAGTTTATACAAAACATCGATCACTCTACTTTAACTCGGAGTACTGCAATTTAGTAACAAGCAAGTGTTTACTTTACCGTTATATTCGTTTTGTTCGTTTGTTTCACGCTTGTCGCGGCGGCCGAGAGTCTCGCGCCAGATGTTGTAGGGTTCGCGGTAATCCTCGTCCACCACCGCCGGCCTGCAAACAAACAATCGCTACACGAAAACTGTATTAAGACTTTACCTACTCCCCTGCACAACTTTGCTCATTTCACATGAGAACCCTGCATTAATATATCGAGGAAGGGAAGGAATAAGAGCACGCACTAACTTTGGAATTCATGTGTATGTAGTTAAAAATTCGTGAAAGGAAAAACCAAAAAAAAGTTTGTGAATGTGTAGTGATCGAAAAATGACGTGAATTGTAAATACCTTGAAGCACCGGTGTCTACTAAGACCAGAGAGACATTTACGAACCTCAGCATATGTATAGGCGGACAGTTAGCTAAAGCCAACGCTAACCGTGGTGCTCTTCGATTGTTTCTCGCGCTCGAATTGTTTCTCAGAGTAGGACAGAAGGGTTTCTTCAACATGTTGGGGACTCGCCTTCTGTTCCTTTTAATGACGAGCACGACTGTAGCGGCGATGAACGCTCCTCCTCCAACCAGTGCTCCGCAGGCAAGCCCCAAAGACACCCTAATTGATGAGTTTCGTTTCTTTCGTGATGACGGCGGCGTGTCAGTCCGGTAATAATCTTCCAGGAACTCGGCAGACGCGTTCACGACGGTTGGTACTGAGAACATTTTGTTATTGATTTGCAAGTCACTTGAAAGTTGATAAATTAAACATAAAGCTACGAAATATAAAAATTACGCCAGAAAAAGATTACTAAAAGAATTCTGTTTGCACCCGCGCTCATTTCACATTCGAGCAATACGCGCGTAAAGAAAAGATATCCTCTTGAAACTTTTTACTGTCACTCAACTTCCCTGCTCTCGATAGGGTTAAAAATGTAAAAGTGAACAAAATGTAGCCTACACATCTTATTACCCACACACCTTGCTCCTGACTGCGAATAAAAATCATATTAGCCGGTAACATACATACAGTAACTGTACAGCGTAGGGTGTTCTAGTTAATGCTCTTGTATAAAACACGAGTGTCTGAGGGAACATTTCATTAGAAGCTGAATAGAGGCGCCAGCGATGAGATGAAGTATTTTTATACCAACTGGAAGCTTCGGATAAATCCTACGCATTGAGCTCAAAACAACAGCCCCGTCTTAGGTGAACTAGGACAATGCGACGAAATGAATAGGTGTCGGGCGCAGAACTAATTGTTGGGTTACAATGGCATGGAACTTAAAGCCTTCAAAGGTGTAGCTTCTCAGCGTGGTTCCTGGCATTTGTTTCTCGAGGTTGGCCTTCCACCACTTAGAATTAAATATTCGTTGTTCAATTAAAGATATTTCAATGTGCTTTTTGTTTCGGGTACGTTTTGTCTTTTTCATTAACAATCATGTTTACTTGTTATCGTACGTACTGTACGTAGGGCGCACTATGACTTTCCGGAATGAATAAGAAAAGAATACTATAAATGGTCAGAAATGAATTTATTGTTTCTCAAAATATTCTCCGTTAGCGTTAATGTACTTTTTCATACATGAACCAATTTTTGAAACATTTATGTCACTCCTCCGTGACAATCTCTGAAACATGTTTTTCTTACTCTTCGACAGCCTCTTCAGGTGATAAATCTCAAAAATCGGAAAATCGTTGACCGTGTAACTGGTTCTTAATTTTTGGAAAGAAATAAAAGCCACAAGGTGCCAGGTCGGAACTGTACGCGTGATGGCTCATAAAGTCAACGTTGTTCTCCTTCAAAATTTCATTTGTCCGTCTGGCCGTGTGAGAATTGGCATTATCGTGGTGCAAGATGATACGGCGTTTACGGTTATTTTTACGGGGTTTGTCAATAACTTCCGGCAAACAAATGGTCGTGTACCAATCACTATTCACGGTACAACGATTCTCCACAGCAACAGTAGCCACGTGTCCAGTTTTGTTAAAAAAAGAGGCAATCATTCGCTTAAAGGCACTTTGCACGCGCGCCACTTTTGTTGGTTTCGGCTCATCTCGAAAGACCCGTCCGCTCGATTGCTACTTTATTTTGGGATCGTAACTATAAATCCATGTTTCGTCAGCTGTCACTACGTCTTACACCAAATTTGACGCCCCTTCGTTGAATCTGGTAAGCATGGTATTGCACCAAGTGACGCGATCCGTTTTTCGAGCTTCAGTCAAATTGTGTGGGATCCACCGAGAACACGGTTTTTTCATACCCAAATGTTTGTGTTGACTCACGCCTATGTCTAAAGATGCCCGAATCTCAAGGTATGTCACATGCCTGTCTGTTTTGATCATCACAGCTTCGATGTTTTTGTCGTTCACAGCAGTGGACAGGTGACCATCATGAAATTCGTCACTGACACACAGCTATAAATAGCCGTCTTGCATGGTATTCATCGCCAAAAGCAGTTTGAAACCGAGCTCCGCTGAGCTGTTAAATTACATTTAAAGTTGTAGAAAATCATACTACGAAAATTTTCACGAGTTAAATCCAAGGTGATGTACACAACCAATTTCTAAAATGACGCCACAATGTAAAAACAAGTGAGTGTCAGATGAAATAAACTGTATTCTGCAGCCAAAGAGATCCATTTTCAAATGTTGTAATTACTTTTTAAATGTTGTTTATGTAAGTAACCAGTTCCGGGAACTTATAGTGCGCCTTATGTATAATGAGACAAGTGTGGTAACTCCATACATACGTATGTGTGCACGCCCGCCGCGTGCCGTGTGAGGACGCACATTCGCATAATAATGAAAGGCGCGTGGGACCACCAGCACTATGCAACGCGAATACATCCTTCTTTGGCGCACTGCAGGCGTGCACGCCACCGCGCTGTTACGTTTATATAGAGTTGGCATATGTCTTATTATATTATGTTGTTATCGTGCCCGTCACTACGAATACATGAAAATAGTCATAGTAAATTGTAGTTATTTTCGCGGTTAATCAAGAATTTTTACATTACCCATGTTTATTGTTTATCTCTCGAGCGTCGAACGGGCCAAGTAGGGGTCGAGTTTATATAACAATGAGAACTACGTCTAAATAGTATGAGATGCTGGCTGGTTGCCAGGGGCAATGTAACAGGAGCAGTGCTAACCGATATCTAATACACTGTCAATTTTCAACGGAAGCCTAGGTCAAAATGACAAATGTAATTTGTGCAAAATTTACAAACTGTGTTTTATGACGACACGTTCTATTCTTTATAAATTGTATAATTTAAAACGTTTCTCACTGCGATATTGATTAAATAAATCGTTTAACACGTTACTATACATTTTAGTTTGTTACAGCTTACTTTGTAGTGTGTAATTAATCTTATTAAATAGGTATTAAGGCTGTATATCTATCTAGCCAAGAAAGTAATTTTCTTATAGGTAGTTTTCTGCGTGAGACGTTGGATTTAATTAGCAATTTGTTTCTAGGATTTTTTATATCTTGCGAAAAACAACATAATTTTTCATTTAAGCAATTTATGTTTATTTTCCTCTTTACGTATTATTAATTGTTTTCTGATTGCTTTCTGCGTTTCAAAATGAAATAAATAGGCATACTAACTTTATGTCCCCAAAGTAAAGATGCATGCATTGCATTGAATTTTGTAACGATTCGTAAAGGTATCGTGTGAGAACTAGCATGCTTTGAGAAAAGAAAACATTCCATGCTTTTGCGGAACGTTCTTTTCATTGGGATATACTCAAAACAAATATGACATCGGAAGCACCGCCACCGGTTTGTTTGCTCACCTACGACGCGACGCCAGTGCTAGTAAGCCTGCAAATCCTTCGCAGCGCAAATAAATGTTAATAGTATACAAACTGATAATGCAAAAAGAAAACTTTAAATTCAATTATGTATTATTTATTTTAGTAGCACTGGAGCTCCTTGTGAAAGAGTTCGTCCAGGGAAGTACTGCCACCTTTCCAATTTCTGCCGCCAAGCAGTAATGTCAGCAGTACTGTGTTTCGGTTTAGAAAGGTGCTGGTGAAATTATAGGCACGTGGGACTTGTCAACTTATGTCTCAGGGTGACGGGCGCAGTGGTAGTGCCCCTCAGATCTTTGCGACTTAAAACTCTGAGTGGCACTGCAACTGTTATGAACAGGCACGTAGCTTACCATCAGGCGCACGTCTTGTTCGTCCCGTCACTTGATATAAAAAAAAGTATCCACTTTGTAATACTTAATAATACATTTTTATGACTTGTATAATAAGGATGAGTGTTCATCCTTCTGTTTCTATAGATATTATAACCTATTAAGACTCAAAGCGAACTTTGAAGTAAAAAGTTGTCCAATACAGGTATTCCATCGGTATTTCGTGTAAGTCGAAAGATAGTTTGCCTCCATTTGCCCCAATTTGTATAAACGATAATGATATTTTCATCTGACTTAGAAGCATTTGCTGAGGGCAAGGTCGGTTGTGGTTTTATCCCATATTACATAAACATATATAGAAGTATATGCCCTAACTTCTAATTGTAACAGTACATGAAAGTACTAGCACTTACTAGTTCTCAATATTTTTTTATTTATTTTCAAGGGATAACAAACAATTGTACATGGTATGATTACATTTGTTGTGGGGTTAAGTGACATAAGTACATTTATAATCAACAACGTTATTCACAGATTAGTAATTATACTTCTTATATGTTTTAAGAAATGTTCGGCTCTGTTCAAAAAGTTTAGATTTTTCAATTCATGAATGAGAAACATTGATATAGGATCATATTAACTTAAATATTTAAGACATAGAAATGCTAAAGAGATATTATAATTCTTTGAACTTCCTTCCTAACGAGAGACAATCAATAATTATTATGCTGAATGCTATCAGATTTACACTATTGAATTGAATCTTGAACCGTCCGTGTAGACTCGTGTTTAGGGATGACATGCAATGGAACGGGGCAGCATATTTTGATCCACCGCCAGATACTGCAGAATAGTTTCAGGTGAACCATAAATCACCAAGGGTGAACCCCGAAACTGAGTGCAATATTGGAAAGTCTATCATGTTTTCAGTCTTGTGATAGCACCAACTTTAAGGTTCTCTGTGACTGTAAAGAGGCCTTTCTACATTTTGCTCTTCGCACTTCAGGTAAATAAGGAGCACCAGTTTTATTAAATTTCACTGAATTCCTTCTCATGTAAATTCGCTAGGAAATTATACTTGTGGCGGTATACATGTTAACCGAAATATAAAAATTTAATGTTACACGATGTTAAAATATTATTCTGAAAATAGCTCTGTAGAAAAGGGTATATGGTACAAAATTATACAAGGAAACCTGGCTTGCACATACAATTCTGAATTGAGCCCTACTGGTTATTAGTGGCTGTTCACCGAACAGTCCACTAAATACGCTCGGTCACTTAATGAGGTAGTAGTTTGTCCGAATTGCTATAGAGAAGATACTTACCATGCTTTACGGAAATGTACCCGAATAGTAGCGGAAGGAGATTGATAGAATTAGAGACTGGAATCAGATTAAGAGGTATTGGTATGTGTAATTCCATACTTTCACAGCCCAGTCGTGACCGGTAAAACATATACCTAAATAACCCAAGTATAATTACGAATTATTTGCACTGGTAATGGTGGGCATTATCGTACAGCGACAAAAGATTTGCTTAATTTAAAGATAAATAAATAAAGCAAGCGACAAATTTGTTGTTCCCTGTTCGGATTAATTTTGTTTTTAGGACATGCATGGGGACAGACATACCGTAGTCTATTTAAATTGTGACCGAGCCAAACTGGTTATGTATATCTTTACTGACATATTATAAGATGGATCAGTCGTTAAGTATCGAAGTCGAAGTCGACGGCCTAAAGAAGGTTTTACATTTCGCACTGTTAATACAATAGTGTATTAACTCAAAAAGTGTATTTTTTCCGAATCGGTGAAAAACGAATGCTCACTTCCTTCACTAAGATCATTAAATTTACAAATAAGCTAAAGTTTATTACTTCCATGTCAACAATTTCCTACTGGCCTAATTTTTAAAAAATAAAAGGGAAGAAATAATTTCATATTTTTGAGCAAGGACTGTATGTTCTGGCCAGAACTAACTCACATAAAATTTGTCTCATTTTGAGTTAAGTAAAAATCTTTTAATTGTTTCTTACAATATTCTATCGACGGTTTTATTGACGTCTAGAGAATCAAATTTTGGTTTCAGCAATGATTTAATCCTAAAACTCACTGTAAGTTACAACACTGTTGTAATATTAGTGCGAATTATCTGACGTGTTGTGTCGTGACGCGTCAGAACGGTATCGGTTTCATACGCTTAATATGGTTAGATTTATATTAGTGTGTCACAATTTGACGTGACGGCTTTTGCTGTGTGTGTATGAAACTGATACCGTTCTGATGCGTTACGACGCGACACGTCAGACAAATGTAAATCCGGCTTTCAATTCACCCGAGTTCAACGTCTCGGTTACTGAAACTCACTTTAACTGTAACAAAGAAAATTAAAAGTTTATCATTATGTCAGAATTAGAAGATAGTGTAGTATTGTGTCAGTATTAGAAGAATTTGACAACAGAAAGCATTGTTTTCACCGAGAAAACTCAAACGTAAATATAACATCGTCAATTAAAGTTTTATATAAGTACATACTTTTACTTGAATTCATTATGGAACACATTAGAAACAGTATTCACACATAGCTAATACATGACTTAATTCCAAGAGGTTTAATAGATGCTTTTGGATTTTTAAAACAATAATTATTTTAATGCGTAATAAATGTATACACAATGTATCAATACAGTCATTAATTTATTACATTTCAAGTTGTAAATAAAATTCCGATATAATTTAGTGCACTCTTCTATTATGTTTCCCTTTTTCCTATAAATAATAAACTAAATGCAATAAATTAATTCGCATATCACACTAGTTGAAATCGAATTCTACTATTATTTTTTTTCGATCAGATCATTCATATTTGCATTAACGGCAGAAAATATTTACGATCAGAATAAATTAGTACAGACTGTCTACAGAACCGTCTCTGAGACGAGCATTAAATTTTATTACCAGTCCAGTAGCCAAGGTGTAAATAATCTAATAATATTATGTAAATTTAATTTTCTTCCGGAAAGTTTAACGGATCAAATCCTTGCGATTTGTTGGGAGGGGTGGCGCTAGTGTCGCTCGCCGCCAACGTCGCCACTCGCGAAGATGGAAATTGAATAAATAGATCCATGTTCAAAAAGCCCGTTGATATTACTTTAAATTCATTTGGCACCGAGATAATAATTCCGGCGACCGCAGATGACGCGTCGCGCGGCCGGCGGCGCGGCCCGTTGCTAATATAATTGGGGGAATAGAATAATCCAGATCAAAGATTTTCTTTAATTACAAGTTCTTCATTTAGCGCTCGGCGATTTATCACTTTAGAGGCGATTTCCTCAAAAGAGCTGTGGATTAATTAGAGAAAGATAAAATTTGTGAAGTAGCCGGAGGCTCGCGAGTGCTCTGAACAGATAAGGGAGCACGATGAGGGGTAATAGATCTATTAGCGTGCCTGGGCGTCCTGTGCCCTCCGGGACGCCCGCTTTTTGTTCATGTGAAAAATTACCTAATCATGCTTATGAATTGTACTTTTATTTCCAGTTCACTTTTTGTCATCGGGTTATTTGGCCAGACAATTTTATTTATTTATTTAGAACCTTTGGTTCTATCAACTATTATAAATTTTTCCTTGATACATTCAAGGGTGAGGTGTTTACTTTAGGTTTCGCGCGTTGCTTGAGCAAAACGAGTTCAAAATATATTCCAAATAATTTATCTTTTCCGTTTATAGTATTTGATAATTGCATGGCTTACTTGATTTGAAAGTAATTTCGCTGATGAGGATCCACTCGTGTTGGAACTTGAGTCTGATCTTGATGTGCTGCGCAGTGCGGTTCTGCAGGTCGATGTGGATGGTGCGAGCATGCTCCGACACGCGGTCCTGCTTCGGTTCGTACGATATATAATCCTCCTGCCATCTCTCGCCCTCCAGCGAAAAGTACACCTCAGCTTCTTTGAATAACTGGTGGTGAGAACACTTATGAAGCTGTTTGATGAGGCATGTAATATTTCAAAGCATTTGTCGTTGTAAACAACTTACCTGAACATCTTTGGTGAACATATTATTCGTATGTATATCAATGTGGTATAAAATTCTAGGAGTACTAAAGTTAAACCTTATCTCTACTTCGTCGTCTATTAGCATCGACTTATTCCAGCCCACCCAGCGAGTTCCTGAAAATATGTTACATGAAAAAAAAGTTCGAAATGCCGTAATCCAAGGACTGGCAAATCAAACTTTTTTACCTCGCGTGTCATTGGGATCTGGTAATTCAAAATCATTTGGTCCAAGGAGCGAGTCAGTCATTTGACCGAGGCCGTCCATTAATTTCCCTTCACGCATGACACCGTCATACGACAGATCTTCGAATCTTGCCCCCCCGGTCATAGCTTGCATATCACCCCCACGCGGCGCCGAATATGCAATTAACGCCTCTGTGAAAATATAGATTACATAAATACGCCGCTAAAGGCGGCAGTCCATCGCATAGCTACTCATTAAAAATTATTGCATTCTCACAAATGTTATGACTTGGGTTGACGCGTAGCTATATTATTTATACTGTCGCTTAAGCTCAGTTCGCAAGGCAGAAGGTCCCGGGACATCGCAAGTAAGGGAAACGTTGATTATTTTTTATACATACGTTTCCAGCGGCATCCATATAATTCCACTCGCATGCAGGCAGTTCTAGGGTGAGCAGCATACGGAAAAAAGCGAACTTTGGACGCTACGAATGGGGCTTCTAATGTCGATTTCTTCGGTGTGTATGTGTTCACATTTCCTGGTATAAGCTGAAATGAAAGATATATTAAGTATCGCGTATCGCGGAAACGAAAAAGTTTCTTTTGAGGAGTTTTAGTAAGTTTGAAGAGGCCTTAGAAGTGCTCGTCTGACGGCTAGTACTTTATAAACTTGTTGCTTTCATACAAACTCTTGAAAAAAATTTGTCGACATAAAAATACTGAAAGCGTTAAGTGCAAATGTACTCAAATGTTATATCGGGAATTTAGTTATCACAAATATCTAGTTCTAGTTATATCTGCTCAACAAGGCGCCCCTTACTAGCAGCATTCACACACTAAATCGAATAGCTGAAGAAGTAGACATTTTGAATTGTTTTGAGAGCGAGTTCATGAAGGCAACACTGTTTCTGTTTTGCCCATAATTAATTCTACATTATTAATTATTATCCTTTATTCGAAAATGTCTTTCTTTTGTTATTATTATTTTTAGTCATATTATGTTATGTGTTTCATTGTGTATGAAATGCTAACACTATTGGATTAGGATGGTCCCGTACAATTAGTTGTATGTATGAAATGAACTAATAAATAAATGTTTATGTGGTTTTTATCTGAAGTTGTAAAGTAGGGATGAAATATCGCAGTAGGTAACTCCGCAGACGAACGCAGTGAATATGGTTGCAATCCTCATTGCAGTAAAGTGAGTTTATTGGTCTGCCTAACTAACTTCTGCGCTGTGCATACCTTAGCTGTCTCTTAAAAATGAATGGTATTGTTCGAGAAGAAGTGTTGTTCATTCAACGTTACAAGATTAGTTTAAAAGAGGACTAGAAAGGACTTATGTCAAAGGTAGTGATATCTCTAGATATCTTTAAGGAGCATTAATCTTTGTGTAAGTAATAACAATTCTATTCGAGTAATTAATACTAATAATTATAGTTTTCTTTAATACGATATAGATTACTAATAGTAGTTATATTCCTTGTCGTGTGTATGTACATCTAAATATGTCTAGATATAAGTAAAGCTACGTCGTCCTCGAGTAGCGTAGTGTTCAGTTTCGCCGCAAGGGGACTAATTTTACGAAAACGACCTCGGAAACTGATCTTTGATATTCCATACTGTATATTATTTAAATATTATTATGCGCGTATCCTATTTGTAACATTTAAAAAATATTTATTACACCGACTTGCATAAGCTTAAAATATTTATCACGCCTAGACAGGCGTGATCTTATGTAAGCCCGAATTTTTGCCCATTAGTGTCTACTAATGTGTCTAACATTAGTAGACACTAATGGGCAAAAACTTGACAGAGAACAGTGTCTTTTTATGATTAAGTACCATATTTTTAAAAATACACTTATAAAAATATATACCGGATGTTTTTTGAACAACGAATTGCAACTTGTGGTTCTGGTTCTGGAAATATGTATATAACTACGTGTAATATGTGTTACAAGAAAACTACCATATTCGTTGCATATAGTTACTCCTAACGAAAAACAAAGATTTTTCTTAGCTCAAAAATTTTGTTGACTTAAACATATGATGGTATTGAATAGAAAATAAATGAAACAAAGTTCTTCACGATAAATATAAGATATTTTTATAGGTTATAAAATATACATATAATATAAAATTACGTTCGATGCAACTTACCCGGCTTCCGTTGAAATCCTTATACTTGAACCAACGGTTGAGCGACCTGCGCCAGTATTCCAGTGAGTAGGACTCCACGAATTCTACGCCAACGGAGTTAGCGAAACGACCTTGCGATTCAGTACCCGTGATTAGGTACTCGTCGCGTAGGTCTATCTCCAGATATTGGCGACTGTTAGGAAGAATCAGTCCATTGGGGCACCATGCACCTCCACGGATTTCTGTACGGATCCTGTTGGATTAAAAAGGCAAAGCAGCGAATTAACTCATGCTAGTTAAATTCATTCGCATAAAATATTAAGTTTTACAGTTTTTATTGTAGAGATCTCATACTGGTCTCTGCATCTTCTTCGATTTATGCCTGTAAGTCTATTTTCCTATTCGTATTCAATGTCATGATTCATCTGTCATTCTTAGCAAACTTGATAGGATGTTGATAGGTGAATGTAATAGCAAAATCTTCTTAAAAGTCATAGGAGCATTCACTTCTGCGATACATAAACAATTTCTTATAAAACAATGTGTATCATATAATTGACATGTATTTACACTAATTGTATTGTGCCTATGATATATCAGTATGTAATTTGCTTAATCATAGCAAACAGATGAAACTACATCGTCGTTGTTGTGTTGAGTGTGTGCGTGTGTGCGTGTGCGTTGTTACCACGGAACAATAAATGCAGTAGAAGTGGTTACCGAGATCAACTTGAGCTCTAAAATCGCAAATTCTCTAAAATCGTAGAAAAATATTATGATTAATGTTATTGTACTGTTTTGGAGTGCTAAAATGACAGCCGCGCCAAAAATTTTAGCCATGGTGGTATTTTTATATCATCGGCAAATCTTATTTTAACAAATTTTCAATTTGCTGTTTCTCGAATAGATTTTTTGTATTGTAGCAAACGAAAGTAAATATTATCCCAGTTAACATTATGTCAGTTTTATCTTTTGGAGAAATGCGTAAACATCTCCAATTTTCCATGTTAATAGGGAACAAAAGTTTGGCGAAAAAATGTTTCATGAATGTTTTGTTAATTTTAAACTTATACTTCATTGAGCGAAATAAAATCCATTATGCAATGTGTGCGTTAAAGATGACGTCTGTTGTCAAAAAGATACTACTTTCTATTCGTTCGTCATAGTCCAGCTACTGGTCGCAAGATGGCAACACGTTGAATAAAATTTCAATATAAATTCTTAACGTCGTAACTTGCAGTAAAGGTATTGTACTTTCAATGATATAGCGACTGGGTAAAGTTTAAATTATATTAACAGCCCAGAATTTGTTACATCTTTTTAAATTAGAAACTACGTCCAATCATTATCAAGATTTCATAGTGTCTATAATTTGTTTGTATGCGTTTTGGCGACAGCGTTTCCTATAGCAAGCGAGACTTATGGCACTTCCATTGCTTTTTTTTTCCGTGGTTGTTACAATATTATCGTCCCGAGTTTAATAAATAGCGAAATAATTGGCGTTCACTCAATAGTCCATTCGTTAATATAACTTTGAGTTGTTTTTCTGTTTTGCGTCCCCTTGTTACCGGTATAAGTGGAAAATTCCTCAATTTTGCAAGCAAACGAGAATTTTATTGCCAATTACTATTTTCGCAATATTCTCAGTGATACTGATTTGATTAAATTTGTCAAACATTGGCTACGGAAATCGTATTGCATAGAGGGAGTTTCTAAAAAAAGAATAATTGAACAGAACTTGCTTTTAGTTTTTTTTTATAGGATTTACAGAAAAGCCAATGGCCATATATAGTACATGCAAACAGACGTGTTTGCGCATAAGCAAATAAAATTAGCCTTATAGTCTGCGCAAATATTCTGAAACGTTTTGGTATTTCGTTTGTCAACAGAGGTGTGTCTCGGGGCTGGCTGAATTTCATTTAAATATCTGTACGGGCAATCTCATCAATAGATACAGTAGAACAAAGAGCGCTAAACGTTGAATTAACTGGCATTTGCTAAATCGCCTCTGACCCTATGTAAAGTGGCTCAGATTATAAGGCTTCGGCACATCCGCCCGTACTTACATCTTGTTATCTTTGGGGAGTCAAGCCTCTAAAGGCTTTTTGTAGGATCACGGTCGCTCCGAATTCATATGAAAATTTAATTTTCTGTTAGTGAATTTCTCAAACAAGCATTGAGTTTTCGTTCTATTGTTTCGCGCTAGCTTATGCGGGCTCAAAACGCAAATGTGAGACCCTCTGTTAATTGTTCGAGCTAAGTATGAGCGTTCTGCGGTAACGGGATTCACAATTATTGTAACAACTCGGCCGTGTCATAGCGCTTTATTGTTGTTTAACAATGGTTATTTCCGCACAGTGTACTGGCGTCGATTAAATAGCCTTTTTCAATTTGTATTCTAGCGTTATGTTTAGTCATATTAATAAATCAAACAATCCGGTGAAGCAGTCTTTCTTTGTTAACGTATGTGGGTCTGATTCCTTATTAAGTTAAGTATGCAATCATAACCTTAACGAAGTATTATGTGATGAGACGATTGTTCAAATGTATAAATAATTTTTTATACGTTTTATGAACTAAGATATAACTCCTAAGGAGAATAATTGACATTGCCCTGGGCTACTTGGCTGTTGGAATGCAGAGGGCAGGCAACTAAATGGTTCACGTTTCTGGGCAGCTCCGCGCTTGGTTAACTTGGAATACAATGAACATTATGTGCAACATGACTTTTATTCACGATCTTACCTTAAAAAGATTTCAGAAGTTTTTAATAGAACGCTACCATAGCATACAATTGACAACACAGTTGATACTTCGTAAGACTCATGTTAGGCTCAAATTACTCTTGGACCTTTACAATTATTGCTTATTTTTAACTTATTCCTGGATACATGTGTTTTTGATTTTTGAACTTCAAAAACACATAAATTTGATTACTCTGGTATTTCATCAAAACCTCTATGAATGTTTACCTGGCACTGAGCGGTGAGACACTCTGGTCGTAGCTAGAGCTGGATGATAGGGAATCATTTGAGATGAGTCCGCTCTCCATACCGAGCGGCACAGCGCAACTGCCCACGTCAGCTGTTAACAAAATGTGATAATTAGTATGATAATGTACGTTTTATTCAAGAGTTGCTAAGGTATGTACTATCAGATGATAGTTAATATGTGTGTTATCTATAAAAATCAATTTTGTTTTAGAATTACTTTAAATAGTAAATTATTTCCAAATTAAGTATATGTTTTTATTAAGTATTAATTTTATGATTAAATAAAATTAAATAAATTTCCGGAATGAATAAGATAAAAATACTATAAATGGTCAGAAATGAATTTATAGTTTCTCAAAATATTCTCCGTTTTCGTTAATGCACTTTTTAACACGAATGAACAAATTTTTTAACAACAAAATTTTGAAAACATTTATGCCACTCCTCCGTGACAATCTCTGAAACATATTTTTCTTACTCTTCGACAGCCTCTTCAGGTGACGAAAATCGTTGACCGCGTAACTGGTTCTTAATTTTTGGAAAAAATAAAAGTCACAAGGTGCCAGGTCGGAACTGTACGCGAGATGGCTCATAAGGTCAACGTATTCGCCTTCAAATATTCATTTGTCTGTCTGGCCGTGTGAGAATTGGCATTATCGTGGTGCAAGATGATACGGCGTTTACGGTTATTTTTACGGAGTTTGTCAATAACTTCTGGCAAA